GTGCTCCTCGTGGTGACAGTGTAACAACAGATTATATATTAGGGGAGGCCGCGAGCTGCAGGCAGGCCGGTTGCAGGTTGGTCCCTCGACAGAGGCGCGACCACGTGTGACAGTTTGGGTGGAACCTGTCTCAAGTTCACTCCTGCTAAATTGTCAAATGCAAATAATCGTGAGCAAATGTGCTGCACGGATAAACATAAACTCGTAACCAAAACTCCAGATTTGATTTAGCAAAGTGAGGCCTATTGAATTAAACATGATTGATTGTAACACGGGGAGAGCACAAACAGAGGCAAGAAAAGCCCAGGGTGATAAATGGTTTAGCGTCAGTGTTTGGCTTTAAGCTAGTCTCTGTGGCTCTGGCCGGACACAAGTAAATGCTTCCACACAAAGTAAAGACTAAAGGGAACGGTGAATGAGTCCCTCAGGTGGAAACACAATGGTTTGAAATACTTAAATGTTGTGAAATATGGATGGGAAGACATTTTTGATTCACTTCATCTAGTGGGAAATTTCCGTACTGGTGCTAATGTCGTATCTATTGTGCTCTTAAACGTTGGATTTTGTCTTTTGTTACCTACTTCTTGTGCTTTTAGGTGTTTTTAATAGGTATTAATATGCATTGTTTTATACTTACTGATATACTGTTTTATATGTATCAAATTATTACATTTATAAGTAAGCGTATCTACCATTTTTGTCCTCAAAAAAGTTAAAGCGATCAACCATGTGGATATGGCAATAGAGATGTTAAATGGATTGATGTAAACGCTGGCCATCAGGGTCGTGTAATAGGTCACCATTGTCAGCATGTGTGTCTTTGGATATGTAATGTGTTAATATGTTAATGTTTTAAAAAAAAAATGTAGTAGGTAGCCTATAACTTTTATCTTCTGCAGCGTGCAGGACGGAGTACCGAACACATGTCCAAACGGGGACCATAAAGGATATTATTTAAAAATGATATAATAGTACACAATAAATAAAGTTTGGAATCTTTAAATCAGATTAGATTACACAGAATAATACAAAAGATTCTTCAAACGACATGAATGATGATTTGATGGTGTTGTTATGTCTGTTACATTGCAACCAGCTAGCTAACAGTTTCTATACAGTGAGTGAGACTACTTAGATAGCTTTCTCTAATAATGAATATTTTGTAGAAAGTCTTCTGCGTATTGGAGAAGGAAAGATATTACGCTTTCATTTTATTTTTTGTTTAAGCACTTTTGTGTTTGTGATTTAATATTAGATTAAGATGATAACTGAACGATTTGACATGAAGTTTACATAATATGTTTGAGCTTTAGAGTTAGCTTTTACTTTAATGTTAGAGTAGTGCAGCTAGAATTCAGCTTTTGCATTGTTTAACGTTAAGCTATGTAATCACATACATTTCATATGAAATGTACATTACACTTGTGGTTTATCTACATTTCTGTTCTTGTTTAGCTTGATTTAGAATTGAAACATAATTTGGCTATTGCACCTATGGCTAAACATTGAAACCACACTTGACATCTGACGAGCAACATTACTTGAATGTGTGTAGCCTCCTCAACCTAACATGAACCAACTTTCTTTAACTGCCTGCTACTATCTAAAGCTGACGTCAAGAGCAACTAGAAAAGGTTTCTGTAGTTCCAGTTCTCCATGTTCTCTTTAAAAACATGATGTATGGACATGGTGTCTTTTGTAGTATCACACTGCCCCCTATAGGGATGGATCCTAACTGCGCTTCATTGATCCTTAACAGAGATGCGTATTTCAGTGATATACCCTGCTCAGCTGTTTTCACACGCTCTACATTTTAAACACAGCTACAGTGTAAGCTAGAAATGTTTCCTCTTTCCACTGTAAACATTGTGTTTTAATATAACTTTTGCACACTTTTTTTGTGGCAGATGTTGCACTGCCAATGTGTATATACACAGCCTGAATCACAAGAGGAATATGTCTAGAAAACACACTCTGGCTGAGGGATTTAGCTTGTTAACACTTCAAGATTCAAAGAGCTGGATTCAAACACACCTTCTCTCCAAAAGGAGTCATAGAGGAGGAGGAAGAGGAGGAGGAGGAAGAGGGAGAAACAGAGCAGATGGCCCAGTGCAGATATTCTAGGAGCGAGGAGTGTTCTCTGAAGGACGAGGTCTTGTATTGTTTTGGCTGCGAGGGCCGCTCTGTTATAGGCGTACCAGGGGTCCCTGAAGAGCCAGGGTCTTATGGTGTCAGTGTCCCCCCAGCCCTCATCCCCAGCCCCGGTCTATTGTCATTCCTGTTTTTTAATTTCTCAAACGCAATCAAGTGTGACGCAAACTGTTTACCTAGCGTGTCTGCCACAACCAGGAAGAGAAAGGATCGGATGGGGAAAAAAAAGACACACAAGCCAGGATCTCAGCACAAAATAATCCTCCATAANTAGAAAAGTCAGAATCAATATAGAATTGTTTTATTTTAAAGTCAATTCAGATTGAAGCAGTAGTAACACATTTTAATTATTGTGTCCGTTCAAAAAAAAACATTTTTTTTTTTGAACGGACACAATAATTAAAATGTGTTACTACTGCTTCAATCTGAATTGACTTTAAAATAAAACAATTCTATATTGATTCTGACTTTTCTACATCCAACTCACAGGTTTATCATTGCTTTGAGAAAAAAAGATTATTCATTTTCCCCTTTTAGAAGGGAAGATATTTGTTCTGGGAATGTCATTTTCGAGCCTGAGACCTGAAAAACAGGCTTGGGGCTTAACTGGTTAATCGACCCGGGCAGTGTGTTTTTACTATAAAAATGTATGAGTTGGACATTTAGAGCATACCCGTACTTTGTGATAAACCGTTCACAGTGAAGTATGATCTTCATTAACTATTGTCATGGATGTTGTGAGTGTTATAATGTGGTCTGGCCACTAGAGGGCAGGTCTCTCCTTTCAGGTCTGAAACATTTCAGCTCACAGCGTCCAGCAGCCAAACAGCCCAGAACACAGAAACTGGACAGAAATAACATCCGTTACAATCTTAAGTATTTTATAAAACAATAAAATCACTTTGCTTTTTAATGATTTTTCTTATACAAGACAAAGCAGGGAGCAAGTCGAGGGAGAAACTCTCATTTGACAACCATTGCTTCTGGTCCGCTTGCCTGAAGCTGAAAATTGTACTTAAAATAAAACGCCTTTTATGTTTCCCTTTCTTGGTTCATATTTGTATGTTAAAGTGTCAAAGACAAATTGTAGGTAATGAATCATTTCTGTTCTATAAAAAAAAAGTTGTATTTAAATAACAAAAAATAACTTTTAAGGCAGGTTTTAAAAGGGAATACTTATATAATAATATAATAATTAATTTCCTTCTTTTCTCCTTTGAACTCTGCTTTCCTTCATGTTGGCCATCATCAGGTCAAAGAGGAGCTCCTGGCCAACGGGCAGTCTGGAACGGACTTTGACGAGGACGATGAGGAGGCTGAGGAGTGTAAGGAGGTGGTAGAAGAGGAGGGGCTGATGCTGAAGGAAGAGCCGAAGGACGAGGTGAACATGGAGGACGATCTGGAGTACTACAAGGAGCACATCAAGTTCATCGACAACATGCTGTTAGGGTCCGGAGCGTTTGGCAAGAAGATCTCTCTGAGCAGCTTTCCCCCCTCCCTCACCCCGGCCTCTGCTTCTGCCACTGCTACGGAGACCCCATACGAGTGGAAGCCCCCAAAGAAGCCCCACCATCCCACCGCAGCCCACTACCCCCCTGAGCCGGCGCCCAGCGGGCCCTCAGCCGAGGAGTTTGACTACAGCTCGTGGGACGCCATGTGCTACCTGGACCCCAGCAAGGCGGGGGAGGAGGACGACTTTGTGGTGGGCTTCTGGAACCCGTCGGAGGAGAACTGCGGGGCGGAGCTGGGCAAGCAGTCCATCTCCTACGACCTGCACACGGAGCAGTGCATCGCTGACAAGAGCATCGCCGACTGTGTGGAGGCTCTGCTAGGCTGCTACCTCACCAGCTGTGGAGAGAGAGCCGCCCAGATGTTCCTCTGCTCCCTGGGCCTCAAGGTGAGCCACAGGCCAATCATTCCATTTTAATAAAGGGAGTCTCATACAGGCAAATTATAAAAGACACATTAAAAATATAAAGTGAATAAAAGAGTCAAGGACCATGGTGCTGATGTAATTCATAGCCGGTTTTAGCCACATTGTGCGTGGTGTGATTAGAGATGTGCTGGTTACCATGGTGAAACACTCCATATAATATTCAAATATAATAACAACTCCAACTATTTATTTTTACACAAATACTGTGATTATTGCCATTTTCTGATGGCACTGCAGGGGTAGACATTAAGGGTAAAAAGCCACTGCCCCTCCGGGCCGGTGGAATTGTATTATCACTGGCCCCACCATTGTAACTACTGGCCCTCAGCATTCGTCCAAAAAAAATCGACTAATAATGAAGAAAATTAACACATTTGTTGCAATAGTAATTTATGCACTAACTACATTACTACTTGTACTACAACATTTGAATAATCAGTTCTTCCTCATTTTCCTCAATTGTTCATATTTGGTTTATTAAAATAATGATATTGTGGTCATTGTTAAAAAAATTCTGCTATTATTATGAATATTATTATTTGTATAATGCACTTTCTGCCTTCCTGTCATTAGGAGTTAGAAATGTAATGGCTATAGATTAGATTAGATCCTTCATTATCCTAAACTGCTGGGACATTTCCCTATAGCCAATACCTTTATATTTTCTACTCTTCACTTACGGCCCGTCCACACACAGGCATGAAATAAATCTTGAAAAATCTTGATGCTGGGCGTGTCTGAAGCTTGGCGATTTTTTGCGAGCAACACGACCAACAAC